CAGGAGTTGGAGGTTGCTGTGAGCTGTAATGCCACGGCACTCTACCCAGGGGGACAGCTTGAGACTCTGTCTCAAAAAAAAAAAAAAAAGAAAAAATGCTTGGGCCAAGGAGCCAGTGCTGATCTTGTCTTTGACCATCTCGGGACTCGCTATTATTCTGCCCCCACTCAGTCCCTACACCAGGTACTTTATCATGATCAACAAGGCCACGCCCTATAACTATCCAGTGCCCTTCCAAAGTGATGGGCACGTGCCTGACGTGTCCAGCAACCCCCGGGACCCCAAGCCCTAAACTGGGAGTGACTAAAGAAACCATGAGCACCTCCATCCACAGAGAGGAGGCTACCCCTCTCTCATGGCCCTCAATAAAAATTGAAAACCAAAAAATAAAAAAGAGAGAAGGAAATTACAAGATAAGGCCAGGTGTGGTAGCTCATGCCTATATTCCTGGCACTCTGGGAGGCTGAAGCAGATGGATTGCTTGAGCTCAGGAGTTCAAGACCAGCCTGAGTAAGAGCAAGACCCCATGTCAAAAATAACTGGGCACTATGGCCTGTAGTCCTAGTTACTTGGGAGGCAGAGGCAAAAGGTTCACTTGAGCCTGAGAGTTTGAGGTTCCTGTAAGCTATGATGCAGTAGCACTCTACTGAGATGACAAAATGAGACTCTGTCTCAAAAAAAGAAAAAAGAAATTACGAAATAAGCAAATAAAACTTAAATGAATATGATTTAAATGGCTGATAAATTTGAAGTGCTGTGATTTGAGTTTAGGTAGCTGTTGGGTACTTGCTAACTGTTTTAAGCAGAGAGCAGCAGCAAGCTTGCCTGGGAGGGCAGTGTAGGAGAGAGGCAGTCAGGAAGTCTGTGCCTGCTCAGGTCCTGCAGTAGTCAGGGGAAAAGGTGTGTTTCTGAGCCCCAGGACACAGGAGGCCACTCTGCAGCCATGCTTTAGTAGTGGTTCTCAACCTTCCTAATGCCACAACCTTTTAATATACAGTTCCTTATGTTGTGGTGACCCCCAACCATACAAGTATTTTGGTTGCTACTTCATAACTGTAATTTTGTTACTGTTATGAATCATAATCTAAATATCTGATAATGCAGGATGTATTTTCATTGTTACAAAGGAGTGGAGGTTGAGAACCCTTGCTTTAGAGTAACATGTCAGGACAACAGCACACAGGGTCAACAGTGACCCTACAGTGCCTGGCAGCCATTATCGGACTCTATCTCTGTGGATTTGATGATTCTAAAGACCTCATGTAAGTGAAATCACAGGATTTGCCCTTTTCTGACTGTTTAACTTCATTTATGAAAATGTCTTCAAGGTTCATCCATGTTGGAGGATATGATTAATATTCTGTTGTATGAATAGACCTCACTTGTGTGTACCATCTGTCCAGACACTGGGATGGCTTCTCCACTTATTTTTGGCAATTGCCAGTAAATGGAATTTAAAATTTTTCAAATTCTTTCTTTCTTTTTTTTTTTTTTTTTTTGAGACAGAGTTTCACTTTGTCATCCTCAGTAGAGTGCTGTGGTGTCACAGCTCATAGAAGCCTCCAACTTTTGGGCTCAAGCGATTCTCCTGCCTCAGCCTCCAAGTAGCTGGGCCTATAGGTGCCTACCACAACACCCGGCTATTTTTTAAGACAAGGTCTTGCTCTGGCTCAGGCTGGTCTCAAATTTGTGAACTCAGACAGTCTACCCACTTCGGCCTCCCAGAGTGCTAGGATTATAGGCATGAACCGCCTCACCCTGCCTATCAAGTTCTAATTGTTCATTGTTAGTATTATATGTGGGAATATACTATTTTTTAAATTGTTATTTATTTATTTATTTTTGAGTCAGAGTCTCACTTTGTCAACATTGTTAGAGTACTGTAGTGTCATAGCTTACAACAACCTCTAACTTATGGTCTCAAGCGATCCTCCTGTCTCGGCCTCCCAAGTAGCTGGAACTATAGCTGCCCACCACAATGCCTGGCTTTTTTTAGAGGTGGGGTCTCGCTCTGGCTCAGTCTGGTTTTGAACCTGTAAGCTCAGGCAATCCACTCGCCTCGGCCTCCCAAGTGTGAGATTACAGGTGTGAGCCACCAAACTGGCCTATTTATTTATTTTTTTTTTTTTTTATTTTTTTGAGCCTCATTCTGTTGTCCTGGGTAGAGTGCTATGGTATCATAGCTCACAGCAACCTCAAACTCTTGGTTTTGAGTAAATCCCCTTGTCTCAGACTCCTGAGTAGCACCCAGCTAGTTTGTCTATTTTCAGTAGAGATGGGGGGTCTCGATTTGCTCAGGCTGGTCTGGAACTCTTGCGCTCAAGTGACCCACCTACCTCAGCCTTACAATTGTTTTTATATGTCAATCTTATATCTTGCAGATTTACCAGATCAGCTGTTGATTTTAGTGTCTTTTTTGTTAATTCTGTCAAAGTTTATATCAGGAACAGATTTGGGATTTTTTATCAAATGCTTTTTCTGCATCTACTTTGGTTTTTCTATTTTAGTTTTTTTTTTATTGTTGCAGTTTGGCCAGGGCTGGGTTCGAACTCACCACCCTTGGTATATGGGGCTGACACCCTACTCACTGAGCCATAGGCACCACCCTCTTCTTTAGTTTTATTAATAAATTGTTGAGATTGTCAGATTAGATGAAAAGGTAAGACCCAACTAAATGTAATCTTTTTTTTTTTTTTGAGACAGAGCCTCAAGCTGTCCCCCTGGGTAGAGTACTGTGGCATCACAGCTCACAGCAACCTCCAACTCCTGGGCTCATGCGCATCTCCTGCCTCCACCTCCCAAGTAGCTGGGACTATAGGTGCCCACCACAACGCCTGGCTATTGCTTTTTGTTTTTTTGGTTGCAGGTGTCATTGTTATTTGACTGACCTGGATTTGAACCCACCAACTCAGGTGTATGTGGCTGGTGCCTTAGCCGCTTGAGCCACAGGTGCCGAGCCCAGCTAAATGCAATCTAATGAAAACATTTTAAATACAGAGATACAAATAGATTAAAGACTGAGTACCATGGCTCAGGCCTGTAATCCCAGCACTCTGTGAGGCCAAGGTGGGAGGTCGCTTAAGGTCAAGAGTTTGACACCAACCTGACACCAACCAGACACTGTCTCTACTAAAAATAAAAAAACTAACCAGGCTTTGTGATGGGCACCTCTAGTCCCAGCTACTCAGAAGGCTGAGGCAAGAGTTGGGGTTGCTGTGAGCTATCATGATGCCATTGCACTCCAGCCTAGGTGACAAAACAAGACCCCCATCTCAAAAAGAAAAAATTAAAAATAAAAGGATGAAGAAAGGTAAATTATGCTACTACTAATCAAAAGAAGGCTGATATGCCTATAGTTAATTCAAAGGAAATTTCAGAGCAGCGTGTTACCTGGGTAAAGAGGGCCATGTCCTGGTGGTAAAGGGCCCAGTTTATCAAGAGGATGTTGCACCCTAAACACTTCACACTCAAAAGAGCACATCACGGTTCTATATATATAAAATGTTCAGAGAAACCAAATTATGCATTTGTTAAAGTCCCTCTTATAATCATGTCCCACCCCCAAGAGGTGTACCATATACCCTAACATTGGGCTCATTAAGTGGGAGCACACCTATCCTCCTCAGTTCTCCCCTCTCAGGGGATCCCAGCGCTCTGGGAGGCTGAGGTGGGAGGATTGCTTAAGCTTAGGAGTTCAAGACTGCCTGAGCAAAGTGAAACCGAATCTTTACTAAAAATAGAAAAACTAGCTGGCATTGTGGTGCTGCCTGTAGTCCCAGCTCTTAGGGACGCTGACTCAGGAGGATTGTTTGAGTTCAAAAGTTTGAGAAGCAGGGATGTGGGACTGAAGGGAAAGTTGAGCTTCTCAGTTGCCCAGCAGTGATTAGTCAGGGTTCTCTGATTATTTTGACTCACACATTTCTCCCCCTGCTGCAGTTTGGCTGGGGCTGGGTTTAAACCTGCCACCCTCAGTATATGGGGCCAGTGCCCTACTCACTGAGCCGCAGGCACCGCCCGACTCACACATTTCTTTAATGGCATCAGACATTGGTTTATGTATGTCACAGAAGCCCTTGGGTTTTTTCTAATGATGGCTTTGTGGCACGGTTTTAGATTTAGCCATCTAAGGAAACACAGGACAAGTATGTGGTGAGCTCTTTTCTCTGCAGAGTGTGCTGGCTGGATAGTGTGGCCCAGCCTTCTTCCTGGTCACCTGCTGCTGTGGCCTCCTGGCCTCTCAGCCTAGGACATGGCCAGGGTACCTGCAGGAGTGGATTGCTGAAAGCACCCAGGCCCCACACTGTTAGTTCTGCACCTGTTTCCCTGAAGGCCATGGGCATGTGGTTTGAAATGAGTGTTAGGAGATGTCTGCTGAGTGGGTTTAGAACTAGAGCCCTTGGAGATTCCTTTCAGTTGCTGCCTGTTGTTGTGCATGGATGACTGCCCCCGTTTCAGGTGTGTTCTGTCCCGTGCTCACGGAGTCTCTCCTCTCTCCAGTTTCTCCGGATCTGTGCCGACCTCTTCCGCCTGGTGCCCTTCCTTGTGTTTGTGGTGGTGCCCTTCATGGAGTTCCTGCTACCAGTGGCCGTGAAACTATTCCCCAACATGTTGCCATCCACATTTGAGACCCAGTCCATCAAGGTGAGGGACATGTAGTAGCAGGCTCATTTCAGAATGGATCCAGAATTCATGGGTATAGCTGCCTTGTTTGTGACTGGTGTTTCGGGAACTCTATATTGCTGTCATGTTGTACTGCTGTACTATAATTATTTAGTGGGTTTCGGACTTACTTCTCTTTAAACATGTCTTAAAGTATGGTTTTTCTAGACCAGCACTCTGCATGCCATGGGTGAGACCCATTCGTGGGCTGCAAGATCCTCTAGTGCAGGGCCACGCTGTCATGCGTGTCTAGTCTGTGGCTCACAGAGCCAGGAAGCTTTAATATCTGGCCCTTTGTGGAAAAACTGCCAATCTCTCCTCTAGAGGGTCACATATTTTTTGAAACTATGAGATAGAGCTTCAGAGCATAATGCCCTTGGTTGGATGAGAGTGAGATTTCTGTGACCTGCTACAGGGCATGGGGCTGGGCAAGGGGCTATTCCTTCTGGTGCTGTCTGTGGGCCCGGGTGCTGGAGCATAGCACGTTCTCTTTGCCCTTGCAGGAGGAGAGGCTAAAGAAGGAGCTTCGGGTCAAGCTAGAGCTGGCCAAGTTCCTCCAGGACACCATTGAAGAGATGGCCTTGAAGAACAAGGCAGCCAAGGGCAGTGCCACCAAAGACTTCTCCGTGTTTTTCCAGAAGGTGCTGTGATGCTCCTGAGCCCCTGTGACCTTGCCCATTGACCCAGGCTGGTTAGCACCTCAGAGTGCCACTGCACCTTATCTGGGAGTCCTCCTGGCTTTTCTCTCTTCCCTCTGTCTCTCCTTAGCAGAGAGTGCGGCCCCAAGCAGGTGCTGGCTGCTCCTTCAGGGACTTTAACCAAGATGCTTGGCTGGGGATGGCTGCAACAGGTCAGGCCTCTCCAGATCCTCAGGAAGATGGAGCTGCTGTGGCTGATCTATGCAGGAGAAGTGGGGGAGGAAGGGGCAGATCTTGGGGCCTTCCTGTGGCCATGTGCCCAGTGAGGTAGGGAATGGGGGGAGAATGGGTACCCTGGAGGATCCCTGTGGATGTCCCAGGGTCACTGAGTTTGCAGGACGTGCCCCACTTTCTAGATTCAGAGACTGTCCGTGGTGCAGGCAGAGCTTAGGCCAGGAGTCCTAGTCCTCACCTATGTTGTCTGCAGTGTCTTCATGGTGCAGCATAGGGGCATGTGGTTCCCACAGCCACAGCCCAAAGGATCAGCAATGTGGCCCTTTACAGAAAAGATTGCAAACCTTGTTCTAACTACAGAGGAGCTGGGCTCAGCCATGGGGACTGCAGGCAACAGGAGCCCTGGGGGGCTGGTGAGGCTGAAGCTAGAGGGGATGGGTCCTGCCTTTCCTGGGCTACTGTGAGATGCCAGCTCCTGAGAAGAGTGGGCTTGTGGCCACTGAGGTTAGAGTGTGCTGGGGGTGGCGTTCCCTCCCTTAGGGCCACACCTGTACTGTTTCTTGGAGTTAGTGTTCTACACAGGCACTTTGGGGAGCCCTTGGGGGTGGGTGCCAAGTCAGGCTGGCCCCTCTCATCTGCCCTCTCTGCCAGGGACTATCCCAATCCAGCTCTGGGCAGACATAGCTGGTGGCTTTTCCACTGGGTAGGAGGAGATACAGGTAGTCACCCAAAGGCCCCAAGTAGTCCAAGATGTATGGCTTAGTCCTCTTCCTAAAGGGCAAGAAAGTTGGGCCCTTACGGGAAAGGGGCTCAAAGGTGGCCACCCACCGCCCTGATACTTATTTTTTAGTTTTTTGGCCTGGGGCTGGGTTTGAGCCCGCCACCTCCAGCATATGGGGCCAGCGCCCTACCCTTTTGAGCCACAGGTGCCGCCCCAAAGCCAACTGTGTAGTGGGGAAGGGTCCCAGGCCTCCCCCAGTAGAAACACCTTGGCTCTGCTGGCTCAGATGCTGCCTGTGCTATCTGGCTGCAGTGGCAGTCTCAGCATCGCCCCAGGCAAGCCCAGACTGTGCCCAGTCCTGGCAGAAGTCAGCAGTTTGTCTTTGAGGTGTGGTGCAGCTGCCAGGAGGAGCATAGGTGAGAGGTCAGTGGTCCAGGATCAGATGTAGGGCCTGAGGCTGGAGGAGCTGGAGAACACACCTGTGGCCTGGCGTCTAACACTTGCAATTATTTCTACAGATCCGGGAGACTGGGGAAAGACCTAGCAATGAGGAAATCATGCGTTTTTCTAAGTTGTTTGAAGATGAGCTGACCCTGGATAACCTGACGCGGCCGCAGCTGGTGGCACTGTGCAAACTCCTGGAGCTGCAGTCCATCGGCACCAACAACTTCCTGCGCTTCCAGCTCACCATGCGGCTGCGGTCCATAAAGGCCGATGACAAGGTGAGCGCAGATGCCACCCAGGCTTGGCACTGCTTCTCTGGGGTCTTACCTTTTCTTCTGGTTGCACGAGTATTGCGCCGTTGGCATGGAAACTGGAAAACACTGAACTGCAAAAGACAAGATCACTGGCCGTCTTGTCACTCCCAGACCATGACTAGATGGTGTGAATTTCTCCCCACCTGTCCTGAGTGTGCACCACAGCTAGTGTGCATGCATCTGAATCACTCAGCCCTTACAGGTTGTCACTTGGCATGACATTTTGAGGGCCACCCCATGTCACTAAATGTTCATTGAAAAGATGAATTTTAATGACTGACTGGCATTTCAGTAGATGAATATACCATAATTTATTTAACTAGCACTTTAGCTAACATTTTGCTACCCCAAACAACACTGCAATAAATACCTTTTAGCACACATTTTTACTCTAGTTTTTTTTTTTTTGAGACAGAGTCTCACTTTGACACCTTTGGTAGAGTGCCGTAGCATCATAGCTCACAGCAACCTCAAACTCTTGGGCTCAAGCGATTCTCTTGCCTCAGCCTCTCAAGTAACTGGGACTGTAGGCACCTGCCACAACACCCATCTAATTTTAGAGACAGGGGTCTCACTCTTAACTCAGACTGGTTTCAAACCTGCCTCAAGTCCACCTGCCTCAGCCTCCTAGAATGCTGGGATTGCAGGCATGAGCCACTACACCAGGCCTTTTTTTCTTTTTTTCTTTTTTTTGAGTCTCTGTCACCACCTAGGTGGAGTTCAGCCTAGAACTCCTGGGCTCAAGCAATCCTTCAGCCTTAGCCTTCTGAGTACCTGGGTCTTTTTTGGCTTTTTTAGATTATTTTATCCCCTTCCATTAGCTTATTACTTACTCATTACTGCATGAGTCTCCTAGAGTTTATAGACAGCTGCTGGTGGTGCTGGCACCTGAGGACACAGAGCTCTGTTCCTGTCCCCACAGTAGGATTCTGCCTTCACAGCCTGATCTTATCTCCAGGCACCTCTGCTTTACCCTCCTCATGGTACTTTCCTCCACCTGCGTCCCTGTGTTTCTATCCTGATCATTTCTTCTTCACAGAGAACTTCCTCTAATGCTTCTTATTAGAACATAGGCCTGCTGTGTTGGCGTCTTAGGTTCCGCCTGCTGGATGTGTCTCATGTGCCTGTCCTGTTAGCAGAGTGTGTCACATGGGCACACAGCTCTGGGCCTGGCGCTCTGCTCTTCCTGCACTCCACACTCTCTCCAGGAGGTCAGCTGGAGGGCCTTTGAAGATATCTATCTTTTCTGGCAGCTTCTAAGATTTTCTCTTTATTTGGTGGCTTTTAGCCATTTTATAACAGTGTGTGTAGATGTGTCTGTTCTGTGTCCATCTGTTTGTTGGTTGTGATGCTCCGTTATCTCTAGAAACTCTTCTTTCACCCTCTGCCCACCCCCCGGGATGTAACTGCCATCAGCCTTCTCAGTCTGGTCTCGGCAATGTTGCTTTTCTGTGTTTCACGTCTTTTTTTGCTTTTGAGTTACTGATCCTCTCTTTGGATCCACTCTGTTACTTATGAGTTCTTAATTTCAGTTTTAGAAATTCTGTTTGGTGTTTTATTAGAGTTCTCAGGTATAACCATCCATCTTGTCATCTGTTTTTTTTAGCATGCTAGTCAGAGCTCATATTGATTACTCTCATAGCTAGGAGGTCTGTAGGTATTTTTCTTTATTTTAAAACTTAATTTAAAAAAAAATTTTTTTGAGCTAGGGTCTCACTCTGTCACCCAGGCTGAAGAGCACTGACAACATTATAGCTCTCTGTAGCCTTGAACTTCTATTTTTTTTTTTTTTTTTTTTTTTGAGACAGAGCCTCAAGCTGTCCCCCTGGGCAGAGTGCCGTGGCATTACAGCTCACAGCAACCTCCAACTCCTGGGCTCAAGCGAGTCTCCTGCCTCTGCCTCCCAAGTGGCTGGGACCACAGGCGCCCGCCACAACGCCCGGCTATTTTTTGGTTGCAGCCGTCATTGTTGTTTTGGCGGGTCCGGGCTGGGGATTCCAACCCGCCACCTTAGGTGTACGTGGCTGGCGCCTTAGCCGGTTGAGCTATAGGCGCCGAGCCTGAACTTCTATTTTTTATAAAGATAGGATCTTGCTGTGTTCTTTAGGCTGATCTCAACTCCTGGCCTCAGGCAGTCTTCCCACCTCAGCCTCTCAAAGTGCTATGTGGGTCTTGTTTTTCTGTTTTTGGCTCTTTCATCCCCAGGAGCTGGTAGCCAGCAACCTTCCCCACACCTTCAAGGGGGGGAGACCTGGCAGAGGGACCTGGCAGAGGAACCTGGCCTTCTCCCTCAGCTGACAGCAACAACACATGCCCCTTAATGGTGGGGTGGGATCAAGGGGTGAGTGGAAAGTCAGGACTTTGCCCACTGCCCAGCAGTGACAAGGCACTTCCTTCCACCCACCCAGCTAGGGAGGTGTCTGGAGCGCTCGTTCATCCTGACCCTAACCGTTATTAGAGGTGCCTCTCCCCTGAGGTGTCAAATGGGATCCTGGATGCCAAGCGAGGCAGCACTTGGACCTGTCTCAAAATGTGCCTGTGATTGGATTTAGGAACATGACTGAATAACAACATGATGCTGTCAACAGAAACGTGTTATGGGCTCGGCTCCTGTGGCTCAAGTGGCTAAGGCACTAGCCACATACACCTAAGATGGTGGGTTCAAATTCAGCCTGGGCCCACCAAACAACAATGACGGCTGGAACCAAAAATTGCCAGGCATTGTGGCGGGCGCCTGTGGTCCCAGCTACTTGGGAGGCAGAGTCAGGAGACTCACCCAGGAGTTGGAGGTTGCTGTGAGCTGTGGTGCCATAGCACTCTACCCAGGGGGACGGCTTGAGGCTCTGTCTTAAAAAAAAAAAAAAAGAAGTGTTATGTCTTCTCTGGAAACATAGCATAGTATGTCATGTGGCCACCAAAAGCTGAACACCTGTGAGGAAGAGGGCTCTGCCTTCACTCCTGTGTGCAGGAGCCAGCTGGCAGTGTGCTGATGGGGCAGGAAGTAAGACAACTGCTAGGGATTGTGATTGGTCTGGGAAAGCAGAGCCTCAGGGGCAGTACAGTCAACTTCAGGCTTTAGCTTGGCTCTGTGATTAATAGATGCCAAATGGTCATCTACAAAACCTATAAAAGTTAGAGCATACTCCCTGCTCCATTCTAGAGTAGCATCAGAGGAAGCCAGCCAAGACAGAAGATTGAAATAAGGTCCAGATTCTTCTAACATAGTACCCAGAATATTCAAATTGAAATCCAAAATCATTTGCTATGCTAAGAACTGGGACGATCTCTCAGAGTGAATCAAAAAAAGGTGACCACTAGTTGCCAGCACCAGCATGACAGGTATTAGAAACACCCAGCCAGGCTCGGTGGCTCATAATCCTAACATCTGGGAGGCCAGGGCAGGAAGATCCCTTGAGCTCAGGAGTTCGAGACAGCCTGAGCAAGGGCAAGACCCCATCTTTACTAAAAACAGAAAAATTAACCAGGCATTGTGGCAGATACCTGCAGTCCAGCTACTTGGGAGGCTGAGGCAGATTGCTTGAGCTCAGAACTTGGAGGCTACAATGAGCTACGATGATAACCACAGCAGTCTAGCCAGGCATCCTCAAACTATGGTCCGTGGGCCACATGCAGCCCGTGGAGGACATTTATCCGGTCCGCTGGGTGTTTTTGCTGCCGCTGCCTATCCTGCTTAGCAGCCAACTCGTCCTGGGGGCCTGCAGTCTGGCCCTCCAATGGTCTGAGGGAACAGTGAACTGGCCCCCTGTTTAAAAAGTTTGAGGACCCCTGTGTCTAGCCTATATGACAAAGCAAGACCCTCTCCCAAAAAAAAACAAAACAAAACACCAGACAAAGGGTTTGTAGCAGCCTTCACAATAGTGTCTCAGCAGCTGTTACAAGGTTGAAACACATGGGATATAGAAAGTCTCAGCAAAGAGAAAAAGATTGAAAAAATGAATGGAGAGTGGCGCCTGTGGCTCAGAGAGTAGGGCGCCGGCCCCATATACCGAGGGTGGTGGGTTCAAACCCGGCCTCAGCCAAACTGCAGCAAAAAATAGCTGGGCATTGTGGTGGACATCTGTAGTCCCAGCTGCTCGGGAGGCTAAGGCAAGAGAATCGCCTAAGCCCAGGAGTTGGAGGTTGCTGTGAGCTGTGACTCTACAGCACTCTACCAAGGGCAATCAAGTGAGACTCTGTCTCTTAAAAAAGAAAAACAAAAAATACCCTTCCTCCCCCCAATAAATTAAAAAAAAAAAAAACACGAACGGAAACCTAACCGGAAAAGTGGAAACTTAGAACTAAAAAATATAATAACTAAAATAAAAAATTCTGCAGGTAGGCTTCACAGCAGAATTTAGAAGATCAAAGACAGAACCAGTGACCTTTGAGGTAAAATGATGGAAACTGCCCCTCTGAACACAGAAAACGGGGAGAACACGAACTCCACAGCTGTTCTATGTGTTTTTTGTTTTTTTTGAGACAGTCTCACTATATTACCTTCAGTAGAATGCCAAGGCATCACACTCACAGCAACCTCAAACTCTTGGGCTTAAGCAATTCTCTTGCCTTAGCCTCCGAAGTAGCTGGAACTACAGGCACCTGCCACAGTGCCCAGCTATTTTTTTGTTCCAGTTGTCTATTATTTAGCTGGCCCGGGCCAGGTTCAAACCCACCAGCCCCAGTGTATGTGGCTGGCACTGTAACCACTGAGCTATGGTGCTGAGCCAGCTTTTCTGTAGCAAGTGCTTAAAATCTGGGTCCTGAGAGTTGCAGACAGAGGAAGGAAGAGGGCATGGCTGGAACAGCACCTGAAGTAATATCTGAAAAGTTCCCAGGTTTAGTAAAAGACAAAAATCTGCAAATTTAAGAAGCCAAGTGAGTCCCAAATAGCACAAACCCAAAGAAACATACACCAAGACACATCAGAGTCAGGGACACTGGAGACAGGTACCTTGAAAGCAGTGAGAGGGAACAGCACCTTTACCTGTGGGGGAAAATGCTTGAAGTGACAGTGGGCTTCTCGGCAGAAACTGTGGAGGCCATAGCAGGGAGAACAATATTTTTCAAGTACTGAAAGGAAAGAACTGCCAGCCAAGAGTCTACAGCCAACAAACAGAGTGAGGGGGCAACTGAGACATTCTCAGATGAAAGGAAACAACAGTCTGTCACCAGCAGACCTACCCTACAAGAGGGCGAAGGAAGTTCTTTGACCAGAAAGGAAACACTAAAAGAAGGAACCCTGGGGCATCAGGAAGAATGAACATGTCAAGCTACATTGTGGGATGACTTGTTACACTCTCCTCCATGCCTGTAATGGAGGCAGAATGGTAGCACAAAGTGATGTCTGGTGCAGGTGGAGGGGGATGTGTGAGACACCATCACAAGTGGGCAGGGGAGCTGTCTACACTGTCCTGACTGGTGAAGTGACAGCACCAGTGGGTGATGATGAGCAAGGTCTGTGTAGCAGGGTCCCCAGAGGCAGACTCAGGTGTGCCGTAGAGAAAGCAGAGCAGAGTTTACACTGTGTACAGGAGGACAAGGAGACAGAGACAAGGAGCAGCTTTACTCAGAAGGAACAAGCTGAAAACAACCCAGAGGCCTTCACTGCTCTTAGCAGTTACTAGGACCTGACCTTGGACATGGACAGCAAATGAGGGGTCTTCAGGGAGCCATGAGGTTAGGTGCTGGTTTTGTGCTGGGTGATTCCATTTCTGTAATGTTCTTATCTGGCAGGAGCTATTGTTAACTTCTCTGTTTCTTCTCTCTTCTCCCCTGTTGCTGCTTGTATGACCTTTGCCCCTGTCTCTGGTCTTTCTGTTTGCTTTTCCAGATGCAGGTTATTATGGCCTCAGGCCAAAGGAGAGGAAAGGGAGCCCCTTTGGGTATGAGGCCAAGATACATCTTCACCATGTTTGGAACCCTTTCCCCTTCTCTCTCTCCCTCCTTCCTTTTCTATCCTGGAACCCTGAGAATACTTTGGCAGATGGTGGACTGTGTTTATCAGGAGAAACAGGTGGTGTAGGCCCATCCTCTGAGCATGCTGAGGAAAAGGTCCACGTCCCTGAGCAGGGATGAGGAGAAGTGGCTTCTTTACATCTTGGCATTAGTCCGGCTGTCTTACAGCTTCCCAAGATCCTTGACCTCTGTCAGGAGGTTCCAGTCACTTCAAACCTACAACTGGGCTTTGGTGGTGGTTTATCTTTTTTCTAGGCACATACAGCCTTTTGGGCTTATTCCCAGGTGTGTTACTTAAATACCGTGAACCACTGAAGACTTTTCAAATTGATAATTACTTGCCTTCCTTTTCCAGCTGATTGCTGAGGAAGGAGTGGACAGCCTCAATGTCAAGGAATTGCAAGCAGCATGTCGGGCACGGGGCATGCGGGCCCTTGGCGTCACAGAAGACCGTCTGAGGGACCAGCTGAAGCAGGTGCGAGTCTGAGGCGTGGGGACAGTTACATCTAGGGCTTTCCCTCCCCTCCAGACCTATGCAGGCTTGCTGTGGGAAACTTCCAAGATCAGAAAGCCACCAGAGACTGAAGGCTTTTTTCTGAAACTCAAACTGGGTGACCTGGTGAGGCCAGGCTGTGACTCACCTGGGGCTCCTGGAGGCTGGGGGCTGTTATTAACCTTCAGGTCCTACCACATAAACACACACATGCATGTACACACATCCCTGTGTTCTCAATTTTGGTAGCCTTTCAAGTATCGCTTTGGTTTTTCTTACCTGATTTTGGTTTATTTTAAAAACCTTAGTAATTTATTTTTCTCTTGGTTATCTGTAGTTATATGAGGCCTGAGGTTCATTTCCTTTAAAATTTCTGGGACATGTACACATTTTGACTTTTTTTCTTTTGAGACAAGGTTACACTCTGTCACCCTGGCTAGAGTGCTATGGCATCAACCTAGCTCACAGCAACTTCAGACTCCTCGCAAGCAGTCCTCTTGCCTCAGCCTGCTGAGTAGCTGAGACTACAGGCACCCGCCATGATGTCCGGCTAGTTTTTCTGTTTTTGGTAGAGACAGAGTTTTGCTCTTGCTCAGGCTGGGCTCAAACTCCTGTGCTCAAGAGATCCTCCCACCTCAGCTTGGGATTATAGGCCTGAGCCACTGCGCAGTCTTAACTGTCTTTCTTAAGTGAGACCAGGGAAGGTTTAAGAAACGTGACCCAGTCTGCCCTCTAGAGCTGGCCATTCTCTTGGGTACCCTGGAGCAGGTGACTGATACATGGGGGCTCCCTCCCACCTGCCTAGGTGTTAGTGCACTTGCCTTCCAGCTCCTTAAAGGACCAGATCTGTATGACACCTGGTATGGTCAGATGGAGCAGAGTATGCATTGGGTTGGTGGCATTCATTTTTTATATCAGAAGGCTTAAAGGGAACAGGGCTTGAGCCTGTTTCTCTCCCAGCTGCCCTGCCACTGCCCCTCTTGGCAGTCACCTCCCAGTGCAGTTCTTCACGCACCTTCAAGTGCTGATGAGATGTAGAACACCGCTTCCCTCTGTGACATAGACGGTGTCTATAATGTGATACAAGCCTCACCCCTTAGTCTTCTGTGGGCTGCGTCTTTGATGCAGAACCCTCTCTGTGGTTTGCCTGGCTTGGTTGTGTGGACCATCCCAGTGCCATTCAAAGCCTTCTGGAGCACAGAAGCAGGCAGCACACAGAGATGTCTGTGACAGGCAGGCTTGTGGGCACCATCCCTGCCCAGGAGACTGTGGCAGGTGAGGCTCTAGATGTGAAGTGCCCACATGTTCTCCTCTTGACTACCTCTGCCCACGTTCCCTCGTTCTTAGGGTGTTTTCCTCATCTCTTTCCTGTGTTCAGCTTGTGTCTAAACACTGTCATGGTATTTTATTGTCCCTTTGAAGGTTGTCTTGGTGTCACTACAGTAGTCTGACACTGGCCTGCTGCACTTGAGGCTAAGCAAACCCAGTGGTGCTGCCTCTGGCCGTCCCACATGTGCATTTGGGCTCTTTGTAAGGGGAGAGCCTGGTTGCAGTTGTAAGGCCCCTGGTGGTGACTGCAGACCCGCTGGACGCCACAGGCATCTTTGCCAAGGTGGTCCTTGTCTGAGGTGCTGCGGTAGAGCCATAAGCAGGCCCGTAAAGCTTGTGATTTGTCTTCCCTAGAGAGCTCCTTCCTGTGGGTTAGTGGACTGGTTGGTACAGGTCCTGCTTTGGCCTTTGCACCACTCCTCTGCACTCCCCGACCACATCAGAACAGCAGAAGAACATTCCAGGATTGAGGGGCCTAGGCCACCTTGTGGGAGTGGCAGGTGGGGTGAGAGCAGTACATCTGATGAGAGTGGGGTCTTGGGTTCCAGTGGCTGGACCTGCACTTGCACCAGGAGATCCCCACGTCGCTGCTCATACTGTCCCGAGCCATGTACCTCCCGGACACCCTCTCACCTGCCGACCAGCTCAAATCCACGCTGCAGACCCTTCCAGAGATAGTGGTACGTGTGTCGGAAGGCCCCTTCACCTGGTCTATTTGTAAGTGGCCCCTCTCTACTGGGGCACAAAGGGGGGCCCTGGAACACTGACATACTCTGCTGTGGGAGCCCCACCCCAGAGCCCCCAGGTCCACCCAGTGCCCCTCACCTACCTGTCCTGCCCCCAGCATGGCACAGCCACTTGGAGCCGCCTTGACCCCACCGTGGGCTGGCCCTACACAGCGCATCTGTGACACTGTGACACAACACCACCTGTTTTTACCAGTAATATCTATATCTGTTTTTTCTCTGAGCATCAAGGGATCATTTGTTGAGCACAGGAGGTGACCCTCGGTGCCTTTCAGCATTTCCTAACTCATGGGCAGCGTCCCAGCCGCACTTGCTGTCTCTTTTGTGTGGTGCCCTCATGGTGACAGCACTCAAGTGATAATAGGGGGTGGGCACAGCAGGGCCCTCTGGTGGCTGCTGGGGCTCACTCATGGGTGTGCCCTCCTCTCCAAAGGCAAAGGAAGCCCAGGTAAAAGCCGCTGAGCTGGAGGGTGAGCAGGTGGACAACAAGGCAAAGCTGGAGGCCACCCTGCAGGAGGAGGCGGCTATCCAGCAGGAGCATCGGGAGAAGGAGCTGCAGAAGCTCTCACAGGCAGTGGTAAGCAGCTGGCCCCGGGCTGGCCCTGCTGTGTAAGGCACAGGGTATCCAGGTCCAGCCTCCTGGAAACTCCCTCCTGCCCCTATACTTGGCCCCACATTCCTTCCTGGAATGGCCAGGAAGACACAGTAAAGGCAAGATGGCTGGGTGTGGGGCCTCTCCAAGGGAGAGCCACAGTGGTACCTGTGAGATGTAGCTTGTCCATCTCTCCCTGGTCTGGATGCCAGTCATTGCAGAGGGCCCAGCCTGGCACTCAGGCAGTACCCTCCTGGCCAGGGGCATTGCCTGAAGGAGTACTGGCCGAGGAGCCTCAGGTGCCCCCAGGCTCTGGGCCATGCTACAGCTCAGTACCTGGGTCCTCCTGGGACACCCACACGCACACCACCTGCAGATTCAGCCTCCTGCTCTGTAGGTGACACAAGGTAGAGGGCCTTGGTGGAGTCATAGGGAAAGGCCACAGCCAAGACCTGGTTTTCAGGCCTGCTCTGTTGATGCCTCAGGATCCGACCAGTTCTGGGGCAACTGCACAGAGAGCCTCCAGGAAGATCCTGTGGCAGGTGTACCACCCAGTGTGGCTCAGTGGCCTCTTCAAAGTGTGGCCTTTGTCATTCACGCCTGTGCTTGGTATGGAGCATCAGGAAGGCCAGTGTGGTGTTGAGCTGGTGGGACCTTGCATTTCAGAAGGACGTTGAGCTGGAAGCTGCCCCTGGGAGGCCAGTGGCTGGGCCACAGCCAGTGGCTGAGCCACAGCCAGAAGTGCCTGATGTGACCCTGCAGTCAGAGACCCTGGAGGACACTGCCCCAGTGCTAGAGGGCTTGAAGGTAACAGGGCCTGTAACAGCTCCTAAGGACAAGGGGGCTGAGGCGAGTGTGGCCTGCTTAGTGGACGGTCATGGGACAGGGATGGGGACAGGCTGAGAGGAAGTGGGGGCAAGGGCATGAGCATGAGGATGGGGACCCTGGGGGGCCTGGTGGGTGAGGAGAGAAGTCTGTCTTAGTTCTGAGCCTTGGCCCAGGCAACCTGGCAAGTAAGGCTGCTGCAGTGAGCCTGGTGCCCTGGCCATCATGCTCCCTGTGGCAGGTGCCAACACCTGAAAGCTCCTCTAGGGCCCCATCAGCTGCCAGGCAGTGGAGGGTGGGGGGCAGAGGGGAAGCTGATGAAGTCCCCGAAGGCAGAGCTTCCTCCTTAGAGGGTCTACTTGCTGGGTGACCCAGCTTGGGGCACCTTCCAGAACGCCAGCCTGCACGTCACAGCACGTCCTGGGACCTTGTCAGCCTCCAGGCTTCTGTGCTGTCTGCATGGGGCACCTTGGGCCATGTTGGGCAGAGAAAGTCTGCTAGACAGAGACAGCTTGGCAGCTGCCACTGGAGAAACCTAGGTGTTTCTGTCTGAGGTCTTAGCTTGGGGATTCTGCAGGAGGTGAGGCAGCAACCCAGAGTTGGGGAAGGCCACTTATGAGGTGGAGCATGTGGTGCCTTAGACTCAGGTGGAGGAAGGTGTTGAGGCGGGAGGCGTGGGGTGAGTGGTGACCACCTCAGGAGCAGTGGTGGAAGAGGCCAATTGCCCTGGGGGACTAGCAAGGGCACCAGTACCTCCTGGGCTCTTTCTGGATGCTGGGAGATCTGGGGTGAGCGGGGGGAGGTGGAGTTCCAGGGTGTCACTTCACCTGGTAGAGGCCAATGGCCTGAGGCAAGCAGGTCCTCACCATGCTGGTGTCTCTGAGGCCCCTGGGGACATGTCCAGAAAACATGGAAGCAGCTGGAAGGAGGAGTTCATCAGGCAGCAATCCCTGGAGCCTGGCTACTCTGAGTTCCCAGGGTGACCTGGAGAAGGGGCCACACAGCCCCGTCATTCGAAGGTCGGTCACTAGAGTCTGAGTTCGTGTTTTCCTAGATGTTCTTGAGGCTTGTAGACATTTGTGGTTGTCTGGGCATTGAAGAGGTAGTTGCTTATTCTGGTCTCCTAAGAGACTAGAGGGCGTGAGGGTTTTGGCCGGAGGTTACAGTTCCTGCACCATTTCAGCACTAGGGGGCGCCCTAGACCCAGGAACAGGGTCATCAGAGGCACCTGGAGACCAACCTTGGTGACTTGGCAAAGTCCTACTCTCTCTGTGCTGGGCTGCCTGGGATTGGGGGGGAGGGCATTATGTGGGCTCTCCAACAGCCACAGCCACCACAGATGGCACTGTTCAGGGTGGCCCTGCAGCCTTGCAAACCACCACGGTACTGGGGTGGCCACTGCTGCCCAGCTGCTGCTGCTGCCTCTGTAAGCCCCAGGACCTCTACAGTCAGCAGGGGTGAATCCCTCAGGGCCTGGGCACCTCTCTTCAGTGGAGAGGATTCCCTCCTGGCCTAGAGTGGGTCTAGAAACACTGTCCAGTAGCAAAGATCTGGAATCAGGGCTTAAGGAATTGGTAGGTGATACATTTTACTGTGGCTGAGCTGGAGCCAAGGCACGCTCCCAGATCCTCTGTACTTGCCCTCTCTATCCTCCAGGTGGGAGGAGTCCCTCCCTGAGCTTCACTGCCTGGAGTTGGGGCAGGGGTGGCACAGGCACTCCCTTGGTTACCACAGTATATCATTTGCACCCGGAGTCCACTGGCTCCAAGACCAGTGCAGCACCAGGGGCTGCTCAGGGACCGTGTCCTTGTGGCCTGACTGCTACTCATATGTATTCCCAGCCCTAGGCCTTTAGGCATCCAGTGGCGAAGCCACGCGCATCTTTCTCCCACTGGAGCTGAGCATCCTCACTGTGGGAGCCAGCACAGTGCTGGTCTGCGTGTGCTCCACGATGACAGGCAGCACTGAGCTTCACGCAAAGTCCCTTCACTCTCCCTCCTGAGGCACACAGATACCATGTCTGCATGGGGCCATGGGGAGCGCTGGGAAGGGGTGGGGTGTAGACAATTGAAGACTGTCTTTCCTGCCCTCTCCAGGGCAGAAACTTTGTCTTGGTATCATGTTAGCAGGTGCTAGGGCTGCTCACCTGAATTTTTGGTTCTTATGAAGGTACTTTCTTACATAGATAGTTTCAGCAGCCCTGCTAGCAGGTGGTTGCTAGAGGGTTCTATTTGGCCATCTTGTTCTGTCACTTGTAAACAAATTCTTTTTTTTTTTTGAGACGTAGTCTCACTCTGTCACCCTAGGTAGAGTGCCATGGCATCATAGCTCACAGCAACTTTAAACCCTTGGTTGGGCTCAAGCCATCCTCCTGCCTCAGCCTCCCAAGTAACTGAGACTACAGATGCCCACCACTACACCTGGCAAGTTTTTCTATTTTTAGCATAGATGGAGTCTTGCTCTTATTCTTGCTCAGGCTGGTCTCAAACTCCTGAGTTCAAGCAGTCCTCCCACCTAAGCCTCCAAGAGTACCAGGATGACAGGTATGAGCCACCTTGTCCAGCCAGATGTAAAAATTTTTAACAAAAGTTTTTAGCAATTCAAATGCAGCTGTTCTATAAAAAGATCATGGTCAAGTGGGGATTTGTCCAGGACGTACAAATTAGCTTAAACTTTTAAAAATCAGTGTAAGTACCATGTTAACAAAGGACCAAAGCCATGTATGATCATCCTGACAGCTGCAGAAAGAGCATGTGACAAAAATCCAGCATCTGTTCCTAATGAACAGATGTCCAATGACCCAGTAGAAGGGACTTTTCTTGGCCCCACTCAAAGCACCTGTAGAAGCACTTGCAGCCAGTGCGGAGTCTTTAATAGGAGACCTTGACGAGGACTCCACCCCAACTACTGCATTCAGCCTTGTGCTGGGCAGTCCCAGCCAGGGCAGTTAGATAGGAAAACAAAGTAACCATGTAGATCAGAAAGGAAAACTGTCTTTATCCACAAATGATGTTATTATGTGAAAATTAGTTGTACTTCTCTATATAGAGATTCAAAGTTTAAAAAGTGTGTTATTTTTATAGCATTCCCCCAAAATGAATTACTTAGGGATAAATTTGAAAAAAGATGCAAGACCTATATACTGAATACTTTAAAATGTTATGAGGTAAATTAAAAAGCTAAACAAGTGGAGAGATTTACTGAACTCATGGACACACAGACTTAGTGTTGTAAGATGTAAATTCTTCTCAAACTGATTATATAGATTCTCCATGACCTGCATAATCTAAGCAGATTTCTTGTTGTTGTTATTGAAATTGACAAACTTGGGCCAGGTGCGGTGGCTCATGCCTGTAATCCCAACACTCTGGAAGGACAAGGCAGGTGGATTTCCTGAGCTCACAGGTTTGAGACCAGAGTGAACAAGAGCAAGACCCCACCTCTAAAAATAGCTAGACATTGTGGTGGGCATCTGTAGTCCCAGCTACTTGGGGAGGCTGAGGCAAGAGAATCACTTGAGCCCAAGAGTTTGAGGTTGCTATGAGCTATGATGCTACAGCACTCCACCGAGGGTGACAAAGTGAGAATCTCTCTCTCAAAAAAAAAGATGGTATCTGTAGCTCAATGGTTAGGGTGCCAGCCGCATACACCACGGGTGGTGGTTCAAACCTGCCCTGGGCCAGCTAAGAAACAACAATGGCAACTGCAACAACAACAAAAAATAGCCGGGCATTGGGGTGGACACCTGTATTCCCAGCTACTTGGGAGGCTGAGTCAAGAGAATTGCTTAAACCCAAGAGTTTGAGGTTTCTGGAAGCTGTGATGTCATGGCACTCTACCCAGGGCAACAGCTTGAGACTCTGTCTCAAAAAAAAAAAGAAAAGAAAGAAATTAACAGACTTGTTGTAAAATTTATGTACAAATTCAAAGGACCTAGAATTATTAAGACAATGTTTATAAAATAGCAAATGTTAGGGGATTCACCTGATTGCAAGCTTTATAAACATACAGTCATCAAGACAGTATAAAACTAGCAAAGACAGGTAAGGAATAACCCATATGCAGATAACGTTGATTGATTTTCTCCAAAGGTGCTGAGACAGGTTAGCAGGGAAAGGGTCTTTTCACCAGCTTGTGCTAGAACAACTGGAGAGTCATGCGTAAAAAGATGAACCTTGACTCTTACATAATGCACACAGAATTTAAAAATTAACTCAGAAAGGATCATATAGACTTAATTGTAAGAGCTAAAACTATAAAACTCCTTCATAAAAATTAGAAAATTTTAGTGACCGTGGGTTTGTTATAGGTTTCTTAAATACAGCACAAAAACATGACCCATAAAAGCAAAACAATCAATGCATTAGTTTTTACTGACATGAAAATTTTGCTTCAAAAACCACTTATTTAAAAATGAACAGACAAGGGTGGCACCTGTGGCTCAGTGGGTGGGGCGCCAGCCCCATATACCGAGGGTGGCGGGTTCAAACCCGGCCCCGGCCAAACTGCAACAAAAAAAATAGCTGGACGTTGTGGTGAGCACCTATAGTACCAGCTACTCAGGAGGCAAAAGCAAGAGAATCACCTACGCCCGGGAGGTTGCTGTGAGCTGTGTGACACCATGGCACGCTACTGAGGGCAACAAAGTGAGACTCTTATCTCTACCAAAAAAAAAAAAAAAATTCAAAAAAATGAATAGACAAGTCATGAACAGGGAGGGAAGAAATGTTTGCAGAATGTATGCCTGACAAAGGACTTGTTTCTGGACCATATACAGAATTCTCACGACTTAACAAATAGACAAATAGCTTGGTTTTAAAAATGGGCAACAGGCTCGGCGCCTGTGGCTCAAGTGGCTAAGGCGCCAGCCACATACACCTAAGGTGGCAGGTTCGAATCCAGCCCGGGCCCACCAAAACAACAATGACGGCTGCAACCAAAAAATAACCGGGTGTTGTGGCAGGCGCCTGTGGTCCCAGCTACTTGGGAGGCTGAGGCAGGAGACTCGCTTGAGCCCAGGAGTTGGAGGTTGCTGTGAAATGTGATGCCGCGGCACTCTACCCAGGGGGACAGCTTGAGGCTCTGTCTCAAAAAAGAAAATAAAAAATAAAAATTGGCAACAAAGCTAGACACTGGACCAAATAAGGTATGTAGTTACCAAATAAGGACCTGAAGAGGCAGTCCACATTATCAGTCATCAGGGAAATGGAAATTAAGAGCACAATGAGATACTACCACATGATTGCAAATGTGACAAAAATCAGAAAATTGGACTGTTGCCCCCAGGGCTTGTGAGGCCATAGAGGAGTTGGGGGGTCCGTGGAAAGCACTTTGATGGTCTCCTATAGAGTCAAGCTTGTGCCAACCCTGTGACCAGCCATCCCAATCTCGGGCATTTCCCCACAAAAGTTACATACTAACATTCACGACAGCTTTGTAATGGCCAGAGAAAAGAAGTGAAGTGATGTCGATTGATAGGTAAATGGGTAAACATGCTTTGCAACTCAGAACACAGAACACTTGTACGCATCTCAGAGTGAGAGCTGAGCAGGTGCTCAGCTCCGGCAGTGCCTGCGGCTGCAGCCGCAAGCAAGAACTGGAGCAGAAAGCCTATGGAGGGCCATGGTTCCTGCTCCTGGCTGAGGGGTATTTTTACAGGTATACATATGTGTCAGAATCTGCCAGGTAGCATGCTGACAAGTGCAGTCCAGTGGGTAAGGGCATGGGAAAGAGTACAGACAGTGGTGGGTATGGTCAGCATGGCCCTGGTCTAATGAACAGAAAAGCCAGCAACCTCCCTCCATTGAGGCTCTGCCTGGTGTTGTGCTTTCTTCCCAGGAAGAGGAGATAACGAAAGAAGAGATCGACATCCTCAGCGACGCATGCTCGAAGCTGAAGGACCAGAAGAAGTCGCTCACCAAGGAGAAAGAGGAGCTCGAGCTGCTGAAAGGGGATGTCCAGGACTATAGCGAGGTGAGTGGAGCTGCCCAGGCACCTCTGTGCCACTCACATCTTCTACAGGGCTGGCTCCTTGCCCTGGCTCTGCAGAGTGGTCATTTCAGGGACTGACATTCTGGGTGGTGAGACTTGCTCCTAAACACCTTTACCAGTCCCTGAAGTATTAAATGATACTTCCATTAGATACTCAATGAGCTGGCCAAAAGATATTTGAGAGAAAAGCTGGTTATAAATAAATTTATGCAGTAGCTTCTCCATAGCTGTTCTCCCTGGGCCACCTTCTCCTAGAGTGTGGCCCTGCGCCTTGCAGGTGGCAGGTGAGCACTTTTAGTTTCTAAACACATGAAGGTGTCACACAAATACTTTGCTCACTTATAAGTGAAATCTTACTATGATTCTTATGAAATCTTACTATGATGGTTCTTTTTTTTTTTTTTGAGACAGAGTCTGGCTTTGTCACCCTTGGTAATATGCCATGATGTCGTAGCTCATAGCAATCTCAAACTCTCGGGCTCAAAGCAATTCTCTTGGCTCAGCCTCCAAAGTAGCTGAGGCTACAGGTACCTGCCACAATGCCCAGCTATTTTTAGAGAGGGGGTCTCGCTCTTGCTTAGGCTGGTCTCATAAACTGGTGAGCTCAGGCAGTCCACCTGCCTCGTCCTCCCAGAATGCTAGGATTACAGGCGTGAGCCACTGTACCCAGCCAGTTTTTTTTTTTTTAAGTAAATATTACTAATTTGATTTAAAAAGAACTGTATCAGGTGGTGCCCATAGCTCAGTGGGTAGGGTGCCGGCCACTGAGGCAAGAGAATCTCTTAACCCCAAGGGTCTGAGGTTGCTGTGAGCTGTGACACCACAGCACTCTACCAAGGGTGACATAATGAGACTGTCTCAAAAAAAAAGAACTATATTTTCATAACTCTATTGGAAAGGTAACTAATTTTAAGATTGGTAAAAATAATTGCCCTTTTTTGAACTTTCTCATGGCAGTTCTCTTGCTTCGTGGGTCCCCACCGGAAACAAGATGTGTGTCACCATCTCAGCCTGTTGTTCCTCAACTCTCCTCCACCCCTCTCTTCCCTGTGACATTTGCTTATAGGGGAACCAACTTGGAATTTAAAGATACTAAATTCCTGAATCTTTAATTCATTTATTATTTAACAAATATGAAGAAATTGAATTTCAGAATAGATTCTGTTTCATTTTCTACAAAAGCAATGTTTTAATGTACAAAAATAAGAAATTCATATGATAGGTAGAAATAAAATTTTGTAGCTTTCTGTGGTGGGACTTAATGGGCTTAAATACGTTTACAAGTTACACTTAATTGTAAAGTCCCCACACCCTTTAAATTCTGGATTGATGTGAGGGTGCAGATGGTGAGGTCACACTGTATGCCTTTGTCAGTAGAGGCCATGTTGTCCTCGTGGGCTCCCCAGGAGGTGTGTTGGACCGGCCTGTGCCTGCCAGGAGCACACGCTGATCACCTTCCTGCCCCTTTCCTGCCCACCTTTTCTTTTTTTTTTTTTTTTTTTTTTTGAGACGGAGCCTCAAGCTGTCCCCCTGGGCAGAGTGCCGTGGCATCACAGCTCACAGCAACCTCCAACTCCTGGGCTCAAGCGAGTCTCCTGCCTCCGCCTCCCAAGTAGCTGGGACCACAGGCACCCGCCACAACGCCCGGCTATTTTTTGGTTGCAGCCATCATCGTTGTTTGGCGGGTCCGGGCTGGGGATTCGAACCCGACACCTTAGGTGTACGTGGCTGGCGCCTTAGCCGGTTGAGCTATAGGCGCCGAGCCCTGCCCACCTTTTCTAAAGACAAACTTTACAACCAAAAATAATTTCTTTAGGACTTACAAGAGATCAAAAAGGAACTTTCCAAGACTGGTGAAGAGAAATATGTAGAAGAATCTAAAGCCAGCAAGAGGCTGACAAAGAGGGTGCAGCAGATGATCGGGCAGATTGACGGCCTCATTACACAGCTAGAGGCGGGTCAGCGGGCTGGCCGGCTGGGCCCCACTGAGGGGACGACCACGGGGTGAGTGGGGCCCAGTGGGGGCAGGTCTCAGCCTGTAGGCGCTTTGCTGGGATTCAAGTGGCCAAAGGGTATACCTTGGCCTCTGAGCATTGCTGTCCCTCCACCTATGACCTGTAGCTATGGCCAGAGACTCTGAGCAAGCATTCCTGCCCATCTCCTCCCAGTCTCCATCCACCGAGGCCTATGCTGCCTGCCTCCCCTCCTCCTCTCCTGTGGCTCCCTCCTCCTGCTCTGCCTCTGCCCTTTCCTGAACCCCCTGCTCACTGACACTCCTGGTGCAGTTCCTCTTCTCACTGCTCTGCTATGGCCTTGGGAGCTGCTGTCCATTGAGTGCCCGCTGAGCAAGTAAAATAGCCACCATCATGACAGCTGATGCCTTGCACCCCATAGGCCATACTGTGTCCCCACTCAGCCAGAACAGGTGCCCATGGCCTGGCAGTAGGCTGGCCACAGAGGCCTGTTCATTCCATGGGTCCCTCTTGGAAGACCTTGTCCACCCCCCAGTGAGGGCATGTCCTCTCTTTAACCTGTTGACCCACCTGCTAGGGGAGTCACCTCCCCACACTGGTCAGAGGTCACCCCTTGACCAAAGTGAGTGTCCCCAGGGGCCACAGCCCTGTGGACCACTGCCCAGTAGCCATGACCAGGATGTCCACAGGGCTCTCCCCCTGCTGTGCCCTGGGCAGTGGCTCACTGGCATGCACATGGGAGATCCCAGGCCCAGGGGTTTCCTGTGTGGATGGCCAAATAGGCTGTCCATCCCAAAGGAAGAGATGTGGGACCTCTTGGCCATGTGTGGGGCTGCACAGTGGTGGATACACTGTGGACTACCTGGGTCAGGGCTGACCAGTTGCAGCCACAGGTGTGTGGGGAGGCCCGTGGGACAGAACACCTGGCTGGCAGCCACATGTAGGCTGTGCTCCCAGGGAGAACGTCATTAGCGTCACTGAGCTCATCAGTGCCATGAAGCAGATCAAGCACATTCCGGAAAACAAACTGCTCAGCCTGGCCTCAGCACTAGATGAAAACAAGGATGGCAAGATCAACATCGACGACCTCGTCAAGGTGGGGCTGACCTTTTGCTGTGGGCCTGACGGTCTGGGTGGGCAGCTTGTGACCACGCCCTGTGCCTACAAGGGCAACCTCCCCCACACCCAGGTCTGCTGCCTCTGCTGCAGGAGCAGGTCAGGAGCCATGGCTATTCCCCAGCACTGGGAGTAAGGAACTGTTAAATGACAGGCTCCCTTTTGCCGAAGCATTTTCCTTATGTGTCCCAAGCACCCGCACCCATGCTGTGCCCGCCTGCCTGGGAGGCCCAAGTGTGCCAGATGTCCTGGTCCACAGCCCACTCCCGCTGTTGGCAGGTAGTGTCACAGCATTAAGAGCAGTGTGGTGAGAAGTGTCACTCTGGAGCCAGCTACATGCTTTTTTTTTTTTTTATT